CGTGTCGGCTGTTGGCGCACGGCCGCGGCCTTACCCAACGTTGTTTGGGTGCCGTATCCCCCCCTCTGGGTGGCATCGCGGTCGAACGTCGCCGCGAAGGAGACTTATGATGACCATTAGCATTACCATCAGCATCAGCATCAGCATCAGCATCAGCATTAGCATTAGCATTAGCATTAGCATTAGCATTAGCATTAGCATTACCGTTGCCATTACCATTACCATTACCATTACCATTACCATTGCCATTACCATTACCATTGCCATTACCATTACCATTACCATTACCATTACCATTACCATTACCGTTAACATTACCATTACCATTACCATTACCATTACCATTACCATTACCATTACCATTACCATTACCATTACCATTACCATTACCATTACCATTACCATTACCATTACCATTACCATTACCATTACCATTACCATTACCATTACCATTACCATTACCATAACCATTAACATTACCATTACCATTACCATTACCATTACCATTACCATTACCATTACCATTACCATTACCATTACCATTACCATTGCCATTACCATTACCATTGCCATTGCCATTGCCATTGCCATTGCCATTGCCATTGCCATTGCCATTGCCATTACCATTACCATTGCCATTGCCATTGCCATTACCATCACCATTACCATTACCATGACCATGACCATGACCATGACCATGACCATGACCATTACCATTACCATTACCATTACCAGTACCATTACCGTTACCATTGCCATTACCATTGCCATTACCATTACCATTACCATTACCATTACCATTACCATTACCATTACTATTACCATTGCCATAACCATTACCATTACCATTACCATTACCATTACCTTTACCCTTACCCTTACCCTTACCCTTACCCTTACCCTTACCCTTACCCTTACCCTTATCCTTATTCCTTATTAGAATATAGTCCTACTCCCCCCTCAGGCCGGCCGATAGGGGCCGCATCCGGGTGGTCCCATCCTAACCTGTAAAAAACAATACAAAATCAACACTTTTTTATTTTTTCCTTTCGACATGGACGTCCTGTCGTCCACGGCGATAATCCATTGCAAAAAACACCACAAAGAGCACACGCGCGCGTTCATGTCAGAATCCTACCGAACACCGTGTGTTTGCAAGCATTTCAACATAAAAACATCAAAAAACCCAATGCTTTTTTTTTTCACAAAAATTGTACAAATTTCCCGCCCGGGCTCTCTTGCTGAAATCCTTATTAGAATATAGTCCTACTCCCCCCTCAGGCCGGCCGATAGGGGCCGCATCCGGGTGGTCCCATCCTAACCTGTAAAAAACAATACAAAATCAACACTTTTTTATTTTTTCCTTTCGACATGGACGTCCTGTCGTCCACGGCGATAATCCATTGCAAAAAACACCACAAAGAGCACACGCGCGCGTTCATGTCAGAATCCTACCGAACACCGTGTGTTTGCAAGCATTTCAACATAAAAACATCAAAAACCCAATGCTTTTTTCACAAAAAATTGTACAAATTTCCCGCCCGGGCTCTCTTGCTGAAATCATAGGAAAACCATAGGAATCTTTAGAATTCGGTCAAATCCAGCGATTTCACGTCATCGCGCGGTGCACTCGCGATGCTCTGTCATGCACCCAGGCCGCGAATCCTGTGCAAAAAATACCACAAAGAGACACTCGCGCGTTCATGTCAGAATCCTACCGAACACCGTGTGTTTGCAAGCATTTCAACATAAAAACAACAAAAACCAAATGCTTTTTCACAAAAATGCTTTGGGGTGTCCTGTCAGACCGTCGGGTTTCCTCCGGCCACCTCTGGCTTCCTGCGGTGTACCGGGCCATTCTCGACTAGTCTGGCAATGCGTGCGCGGCATTCAACACGCGCTCGCCAGTTCCCGTCGGCAACCGCCATCGCGGCCGCATCAGCTGTACCAAACCGGCTGGCCGGTGTGACTTCGGCCCCCAGTTGTGCCAGCTTTGCTTCTTATGTTGTGGGAGGGCGGGTGGGACTGGGCATGACATGCTTGACTCGCTCGAGCTGGCTAGCTTTGACCCTTACACTACCCTTACCCCTTCACCCTTTACCTTACCCTTACCTTACCCTTGTACCCCCACCATTACCATTACCATTACCATTACCCTTACCCTTACCCTTACCCTTACCCTTACCCTTACCCTTACCCTTACCCTTACCCTTACCCTTACCCCTACCCCTACCCTTACCCTTACCCTTACGCTTACCCTTACCCTTACCCTTACCCTTACCCTTACCCTTAACCTTACCCTTACCCTTACCCTTACCCTTACCCTTACCCTTACCCTTACCCTTACCCTTACCCTTACCCTTACCCTTACCCTTAACCTTACCCTTACCCTTACCCTTACCCTTACCCTTACCCTTACCCTTACCCTTACCCTTACCCTTACCCTTACCCTTACCCTTACCCTTACCCTTACCACTACCACTACCACTACCCTTACCCTTACCATTACCATTACATACCATACATGCCACCCTTACATTGCCGTTGCCATTACCATTACCATTACTATTACCATTACCATTACCATTACCACTACCACTACCATTACCATTACCATTACCATTACCATTACCATTACCATTACCATTACCATTACCATTACCATTACCATTACCATTACCAATTACCATTACCATTACCATTACCATTACCATTACCATTACCATTACCATTACCATTACCATTACCATTACCATTACCATTACCATTACCATTACCATTACCATTACCATTACCATTACCATTACCATTACCATTACCATTACCATTACCATTACCATTACCATTACCATTACCATTACCATTACCATTACCATTACCATTACCATTACCATTACCATTACCATTACCATTACCATTACCATTACCATTACCATTACCATTACCATTACCATTACCCCATTACCATTACCATTACCCATTACCATTACCATTACCATTACCATTTACCATTACCATTACCATTACCATTACCATTACCATTACCATTACCATTACCATTACCATTACCATTACCATTACCATTACCATTACCATTACCATTACCATTACCATTACCATTACCATTACCATTACCATTACCATTACCATTACCATTACCATTATTACCATTACCATTACCATTACCATTACCATTACCATTACCATTACCATTACCATTACCATTACCATTACCATTACCATTACCATTACCATTACCATTACCATTACCATTACCATTACCATTACCATTACCATTACCATTACCATTACCATTACCATTACCATTACCATTACCATCACCATCACCATCACCATCACCATCACCAATACCATTACCATTACCATTACCATTAGCATTTCCATTAGCATTACCATTACCATTAGCATTACCATCACCATCACCATTACCATTACCATTACCATTGCCATTACCATTACCATTACCATTACCATTACCATTACCATCACCATTACCATTACCATTACCATTATCATCACCCACTACCATTACCCACTATTGTCACCATTACCATTACCATTACCATTACCATTACCATTACCATTACCATTACCATTACCATTACCATTACCATTACCATTACCATTGCCATTGCCATTACCATTACCATTACCATTAGCGTTAGCGTTAGCATTAGCATTAGCATTAGCATGAGCATTAGCATGAGCATTGGCATTATCATTAGCATTAGCACCAGCATTAGCATCAGCATTAGCATCAGCATTAGCATTAACATTAGCATTAGCATTCGCATTAGCATTAGCATTAGCATTAGCATTAGCATTAGCATTAGCATTAGCATTAGCATTACCAGTAGCATTACCATTAGCATTACCATGACCATGACCATGACCATGACCATGACCATGACCATGACCATGAGCATGAGCATGAGCATGAGCATGAGCATGATCATCACCATCACCATCACCATCACCATCACCATCACCAGCACCAGCACCAGCACCAGCACCATCACCATCACCATCACCATCACCAGCACCAGCACCATCACCATCACCATCACCATCACCATCACCAGCACCATCACCATCACCATTACCATTACCATCACCATCACCATCACCATCACCATCACCATCACCATCACCATCACCATCACCATCACCGTCACCATCACCATCACCATCACCATCAGCATCACTGTCGTCGTTATCATCATCACCATCATCAGCAGAGGCGTCGTTGTGCCGGCATTGACGGAGATCGTTTGCAAGCGCGCGGGCTTCGAGAAGTTCACGTCGGGTGTCATATCGTATTGGCACCGACCGGCGCAGCTGGCTGCAGCAAGCGCGCAATCGTCGCTGGAGCGACCGCGGTCGCCCCTCTCGGGAGGTTCCGCGGCGTGCAGGGCAGAAAAGGCTGGGGCGTGGAGGGCGTCCTTAGAGCGCCCCGCCTATTGGAAGCCACTCCCGCCTTCTGAGATGATGTTCGAGAAGCTTCCACGAAGGTCGGGTGTTGCCAGAGGTGGTCCTGGCCTAAGGTGTCCCCAGGATTTCGTGCCCTTTGGGGCCCCTGGGGCCCCCTGGCCTCGTGAGTGGTGCTCTGGAGGCCGCCTGGGCCTCCCAGGAGATCCTGGGGACACCGTGCGCCGGGGCCACTTCTGGCAGCACCCGAGCAGGGGCCGGTACATCTGGGGCTGGCGGCGCGAGCACATCCGGAGGGGCGCGAGGGGGGGGGGGAAATGAAAGAGGAGGGAGGGAGGGACGCGAGGCGGGGGCGAGGAGAGGAGGGGCGCGAGGGGGGGGGAGTGAAGGCGAGGAGAAAGAGGCGAGGAGGGACGCGAGAGGGGGGAGAGGAGGAGGGTCGCGAGGGGGGGGGGGAGGCGAGGAGGCGGGGGGGGACGCGAGGGGTGGGAAAGAGGAGGAGGAGGGGGAGGAGGAGGAGGAGGAGGAGGAGGAGGAGGAGGAGGAGGAGGAGGAGAAGCAAGGCGAGCCCCTTAGACGCAGTGCTCGCCGATGAATGGATGGCTGCGCGTGGTGCTGCTGGTCCAAGCCGTGGTGATCACCGCGGGAAGGGGCCGATACGTTCTAAGAAGCCCCCTGCCTTCTCCGAAGGACGTTCCCCTCGCCAAGGGTCCCTCTCTAAGCCCGCCGCCGAGAGGTGGCCGCGCGCCCATCGTGTTTTGCCACGGGCTCGGCATCGGAGTTCTGGCGTACGTCGATTTCGTGCTCGAGCTGGGCTCGTCCGGCTCGGAGATGTTCCTTCTGGACATGAAGCACATCTCCCTGAGGCTCGAAGAAAAACAAAACCGCATAGACATATTTTTTCGGAGCTCCGCGCTGTTTTCTTGGATCTGCGCTGGGCCCCCCTGGCGGCGTCTCCGCTGCCGCTCCCTCCGCGTTCTCCGCGAAATGGAGGGGTGTCCAGCGTGGATTCGAGTGATTCGCGCGGTCTGTCGAACATCTGTGTTCATGCCGCTCTTTTCCCTTCCAGAGGCAGAACGTTGACATCCCCTCGTCGCGCGAGACCGTGGCCTGCGTCGTCGACATGCTCGCCGCCTGGGGGCACAGCGAGGCGCACTTCGTCGGTCACTCCTTCGGGACCGTGGTCGTCTCGTGGATACTCCGGAACTCGCGGGTCGCTCTGTCTGTCTCCCTGCTTGACCCGATCTGCTTCTTGCTCTTCAAGCATGACATCGTCACCAACGCCCTGTACAAGGATCGAGGAAGAAGCCGCTGCGTAGACATGACCTCTTGCAGCTCCGCGCGGATCTTGGATCGGCGCCGGACCCCCCTCACTGGCGTGCGGAGCGCGCCAGGGGCGGCGCCGGAGGCGCCGCCAGGAGGGCCCAGCGTCGATCCAGGGCTTCCACGCGGAGCTCCGACAGTTCGCGTTTATGCCGCCTCTGGTTTCTCGAGAGGAGCACGTGGACCCCCTCCAGGTCGTGCTCACGTGCCCCCCCGGCCCTGACATCTGCTCAAGGCGGGTCCCCGGACGCCTCCTGGGATCCGAGCGCATCAGTTCTTCGAGCCGCGTCCAGCCGCGGCGACGAGGGGGCCCCCCGGAGGTCAGAGAGCCTCGAACCTCGATCCTCGAGGCTCGAGGTTCGAACCTCAGATCTAACGTTTCCAAACATTTGCAACATCGAAGAGATCACGACCAGAGCCCTGGACCTTATCTTTCTGCGTCATTTCTCGAGCTGGATCGATATGTGAGGGTCCCAGGGCCCAAAATTGAACGAGAACGCCCGTTGTGAAAAACTTGCAGCGCCTGGATCTCAGGGATCCTCGAAGCTCGAGGTCCGAACCTCGGCGGTGAAACTGTCAGGTACCTGTCTTCCGGGAGCTGGGCGCGGCCTGCGAACCTCGATCCTCGGGGCTCGAAGGTCGAACCTCGGCGCGAAGCCTCGATCCTCGAGGCTCGAAGTTGGAACCTGGATCCTCGAGGCTCGAGGCCTGCCCCTCGGCGCGAAGCCTTCAGGTACCTGGTCTTCCGGGAGCTGGGCGTGGCCTACACCCTCCAGCGGAACTTCTTCTGGCAGCAGTGCGACCTGCCCCCCGAGGACGTCCACTGCCCCGCGCTCGTTCTCCTATCGGGCAGGGACGAGATCGTACCCGCGACCACAATAAAGGTCGGCGGCGAAATCCGAACCCGACCCCCGCCTCCCATCGATCCGCGAGAATCGATGGTTGGTGGGGGTCGGGTTCGGATGTCGCCGTCTCAAAGGGCAGGCTCTTGAGGAACACAGAGCACGGCATGAGCACAAACTTTCGTAGTTTCGCGCGGATTTCTCTTGTTTGCGCCTCGAACCCCCCTGGCGGTGCCTCCAGCGCCGCCCCTGGCGCGCTTCGCGCGCCAGGGGAAGGGGGTCCCGCGCGGATCCAGGAAAGCCGCGCGGAGCTCCGACCAAGTACGCATGTCGATGCAGTTTCTGCTGTTCTCCCAGGCTCTCCGCGGAGCGGCGGCGGCGCAGGGAGCTGCTGCGGGCGGAGGCCTTGGCGCACAAGGCGCTCGGGAGGGAGCAGGATATCGGAGGATGCCAATCGTACACCTCCACCGATCCTGGCCAGGTCGAGCCAAGCCAGGAGGGCGTATACCCTGAGATCCGATGTGGGCAAACACTTGCAACTCATAGCGACAAAACACGACCAGAAAGAGCCCCAGATCCCATGTTTCTGCCACATTTTGCAAGCCAGATCCATTTGCGATGGTCCCGGGGCCCGAAACCAGGCGAAGACGTCAGCGTGAAAAAGTGGCAACGCCAGGATCTCAGGGTACACCGATCCTGGGCCCAGGATAGGCCTGGTCGGGGTCTGTGTAGGGTGTACGGCTGGCGTCCTCCTCCTAGGAGAGGCCCTGGGCGATGACGAACGCCGCCTCCTGCGTGGACCTGCACGGCTCCCACGGGCAGCGCGAGTCCGAGGTGCGCGCGGCGAGGGCACCCCTGGAGCTGCTCTGGCAGCCCGACCTCGTGCATTGCGAGTTTGCCGTGCGGGCTGGCGTGCGTGCGCAGGTGGGAATGCTTCGGGGTCCCTGGGGTCTGGGCGTTGCAACTTCTTCACAAGTGTTTTCGCTCGGTTTCGGGCCCCGCGGTACCCCATCACAGATCGATGCGGCCCCAGACATGCTGCAGAAAGATGGGGTCCAGGTCTCTGGTCGTGATTTGTTTGGTTGCGATGTGCGGTCTCTGGGTTGCGAAGAGACAGCCCTCCCAGATCGTCCAGGCTGGCCTCAGCAGGCCCCCCGAGTAGTCTGGGGCTGTCTCAGCAACCCTGGGGCGCGGAGCGCCCCAGGCGCGCCGTCGGAGGCGGCGCCAGGGTGTCGAGACCACAGGCCACCGCCCCAGACTAGACGGGGGGCCCGTTGAGGCCAGCTGGGGCTGCCCGGGGGCGCTGTCTGTGCGCAGCCGGAAGCCTCGCAGCTGGAACGAGGGGCCAGCGCAGCCCCGGCTCGGGACCCATTTTTTTTGAGCGGTGCCCTGCTGTTCCTCGTGCCTGGGCTCTCTACCTCGGAAGGGCCTCCGTTTGGCGTGCCTCCCGGGGGCCTTGGGCTCTCGGCGAAGGGGGCCCGTGCTCTTGATGGACGCTCTGGGGGTCAATGTTTCGAGTGTGCCTGCGCGCAGCTAGGTGTAACTGGATGCAGCTAGGTGCAACTGGGCTCAACCACGTGGAACTTCGTGTGATTGCGTGCAGCTGCGTGTACATGCGTGTAGCCAGGCGCAGGGAGGCGTCGGTGCGTGCCACTGGAGCTGCGTGCACCTGGGCGCAACTAGTTGCCGGGCATGTGTGTGCAACTCCGCCCGGCCGCCTGGGGCCCCGCCCGCCCGCGCCCTCTCCCCAATTAGGGCTACCCGCGTCCCGTTTAGCTCTTGACCGGAAGGGGCCCGCTCCCGCCCCGCAGACCAAAAAAGTGTGCAACTCCGCGTGCCCTCGCGCAGGTGGTGGAGGCGGTGCGCCAGCTGTGCCGATCGGCAGAGGCCCGGGAGCACTTGAAGGCGCAGCCCCCCGGGTAGCCGGGGGCTTCCCCGCCGGCCGCGGCGCCGGCGCCGGCGCGGGCGCGGCGGCGGGAGGTCCACGGGCCGCCCGCGGCCGTGCCGCGGCGTCGGTGGCGGCCGGGTTCTCCGCTGGACGCCCTCGGCCTCCGCCGCGCTCCGGGCTTTTTTTTTGCCCCGCGCCGAGGCCACGGCCTCGTCGGCGGGGGCGTGCGCCAGCTGGGGCGTGGGCGAGGGAGGGAAACGCGATGGCCATGACCAAGATGTCGCGGGACCTTGTCGACGCCAGTCCTGCTCATGGCCCCTGCTGGCCGTCGCCGATTCGCGAGGATGATGTACGGCTTGGCTGTGGCCAATCTGGACGGTGACAACGGCTCGGAGTGCCGAATTCGGTCTTGGCCATGGCCCCTGTTGGCTTTCCCTTTCCATGCTTTTGCCCCGCTCCAGACTGCGGCCCCTCGCGGCGGGAGTGTGCGCCGTTGCGGGGGCTCGGGTCGTATTTTGTTTGTTTGTTTGTTTGTGTGTGGGTGCCCCACGCGCGCGCACGCACGCACGCCCGGGGACCCGCCTCAGAGGAGGGCCAGTTGAGGCAACCTCCAGATCTGACGTCGCCAAGAAGTTGCAGCATCGCGAGAGGCACTTCCAGAGCCCCAGGCCCCACCTGCCTGCGTCACTCCTCGCGTCGGATCGATCCGTGAGGGTCCTCTGGCCCAAGGCGGAACGAACACGCCTGGTGCGCAACAATTGCAACGCCGAGAGTTCAGGTAACGGCGGCTGGCCTTCCGGGGGGCCACCTGGCCACGGCTTGGCGCAGCTCTGACAGCTGCGCTTGGATCCCGGGAGGGGTCCGGGGACCGATTTTGAGCCCCCGTTGTCTCAACCCGCCCTGCTCCGACTGTCGGCGGCGCGCAAGCAGGGGGCGAGGCGAGGGGGGGCAGGGGGAGTCGGGAGGCACGAGCTCTGCACCTGCACAGATCCTTGCCAGGCCCATCCTGGGCCCAGGATCGGTGCGTACGCCCTCCTGGCCTGGGCAGGGGCGCATGCACAACGACCCTGGGCCCAGGATGCGCCTGGCGAGGGCCGGTGCAGGAGTACAGCTTGCGCCCCCCTCCTGGGGAGGTCGGCCCTGTGCGAGGGCGCCGCGCCTGGTAGGAGCCCTGCTGCCCTTGCCAGAGGCCCCCCGTGGTGCCTCCAGGAGGGGGCCGCCGATCCCCTCGCAGGAGGCGCCCCGCGCTCTGGGGGGGGCCGCCCCGACCTCGCCCTGCCCCCTTTGCGGCAGGCTCGCGCCGCGTGGGTGCGGATCAGCCGTGCGCAAGGGGGGGAGGGGGGAGGGGGGAAGGCTTCTCAGAGGCACCCCTGCTTCAGAGAAGGCGCAGGCCTTGTCAACAGATGGAGGGCCAGTGCCTTCTGAGGAGCAGCCTCCTCCTGAGTAGCCTTCCTTCCCCTAACCCCCCTCTGGCGCGGGCGTTCCAGGTTGAACGCCGCCAAGCGCCGCCAAGCGGAGGCGGCTCTGCGCCGCCTCTGCGCGCCGCCAAGCGGAGGCGGCTCTGGCGCGGGCGTTCTGGGTTGAACGCCGCCAGTGCCCCAGCACCGGCCGTCCTCGAAACCCGCGCTGCGGGGGAAAGCCGCGACCGCTCAGGGCCCGACGAGGCCACGCGGCGCCAGAGAGCAGCGCACGGGCCGCCCCTGCACGCGGCCTGCCGCTCGGGGGTGGCCGAAGGTGCCCCTGGCCCCAGGTGCCCCCCGCTTGGCGCTCAATCTCGAAGCCGCTGGGGCCCTCCGGGCCTCGTGGGAGGTGCTCTGGAGGCCGTGGGGGCCTCCCTGGAGATCCTGGGGTCGCCCCGGGTCAGGGGCACTTCTGGCAGCGCCTGCTCCGCGTGCGCGCCCGCCCCGCGTCGGGTTCTCTGGCGTTCCGGGCGCGTCTCTCGTGGGCCCCGCGTAGGTGTCCGAAGCCCAGGGGGCTTCGCACGTTTCACGCCTCTCGGGCGTCCCGCGCGCGCCTCCCGGCGCCCCGAGGCTTGGGCCTCCGGCGTGCGCCAGCGCAGCGCGAGAGGTTCACTGCCCTGAGGCTGGGATCAGTCGAGTAATTTTGGGGATCGAATACAGAAGTGCTTTGCACCAGAACTGATTTTCTCGTTGAGTCATGCGTATCATGTTCGTAGATCTAGGACAGCCCTACGTATATCTCATGGATTCGACGAATAAATCAAGTTTGAGGTCAATCAATTCTGTAATTGATCCCCTACTCGAATCATCGGTTTCAAGCATCCCATCGGGTTTATCCGATTTTGATCTGGGGACTCCCGTTCCGCCCAGCAGGCCAAGCCGCCCCCCTCCGCTTCTCCCTCCTCTCATGGCGGGGACAAGGGGAGGAGGGGGGAAGGAATGGTGCTGAATGCCCCGCCTCCCTCCCCCCTCCCACCTCCAGCCCACCCCCCTCCAGCCCTCTCCACTCGAGGCGGGGATTGATTTGTGGTCGTGACGGGAATCTTCTCGTGGCCCTGCCGCGTACGGGCCGCCTCCAGCCTCAATCGCCGCGACCTCCGCGCGGTTTCAAGGGCCGAGGGCAGCGCGGCAACGCTGCGCGGTGCCATCGGCCTTGACAGCGGAGGCTGGGCATCGACGAGCTCGGAGAAATGCGGCGCTTTCCTGCTTCCAACGAGCCTGCGATTCGAAGAAGGGGAGAAGGAGGAGGAGGAAGGAGGAAGAGGAGAGGAGGAAAAGGATGAAATGGAGCAGGACCAGGATCAGGAGTGGGAAAACGATGTGGAGGAGGGAGAATCGTCTAAGGATGATGGTGATGATGATGCTACTGATGATGATGATGATGCTGATGCTGATGCTAATGCCGATGATGACGATGACGAGGTTGTTGACGATGATGATGATGATGATGCTGCTGATAATGATGATGATGATGATGATGATGATGATGATGATGATGATGGTGGTGGTGGTGATGACGATGATGCTGATGATGATGCTGATGATGGTGGTGATGATGATGCTGATGCTAATGCTGCTGCTGCTGCTGATGATGATGATGATGATGATGATGATGATGAGCATGATGATGATGACGATGATGATGATGATTATGATGATGATGATGATGATGATGATGATGATGATGGTGATGATGAGGACGATGATGATGCTGCTGATGATGCTGCTGATGATGATGATGGTGATGATGATAATGATGATGATAATGATGATGATGATGATGATGATGATGATGATGATGATGATGATGATGTTGATGATGATGATGATGATGATGATGATGATGATGATGATGATGATGATGTTGAGTACGATGACGACGATGACGGTGATGATTATGGTTGGCGATGACAAGGGTAATGGCGTTGACGCTTAGGGACATCATTGTTAGGATGGTGTTCGTGAGGTTCTGACGATCATGACGATGGCAGCTGTTGGCAATAGTGATGACGACTCGAATAATGATGACGGTTGTGGTGGTGGTGGTGATTCGATGATGGGGAGGAAGAGGGTGATGAACAGGGTGAGGGGTTTGAGGAGAAGGATGAGGATTATAAGGAAGAGGTGGCAGGATTAACGCGATGAGGAGGAGAAGGAGGAGGAGGAGAAGGAGGAGGAGGAGGAGGAGAAGGAGAAGGAGGAGGAGGAGGAGGAAGCACAATGACGAGGAGGAGATGAAGAGCAGGTCTTGAGTCTTGAGGTAATGCAGCGGAATGAGGACGAGGACGCGAGGGGACGATGATGGTGCTGATGATGATGCTGCTGCTGGTGCTGATACTGATGCTGATGCTGATAATGATGACGACGATGCTGCCGATGATGATAACGACGGTGACGGCGATGATGCTATCGGTGATGATGTTGATGGTGGTGGTGGTGGTGGTGGCGGCAACGATGATGATGTTGATGCCGATGATGCTGATGATGCTGATGATGACGATCATGGCGATGACGACGACGCTCACGATATCGATGATCTTGATGGTGCTGATGTTGGTGATGATGATGATGATGATGATGATGATGCTGATGATGATGATGATGATGATGATGATGATAACGATGATGCTGATTATGATGACGATGAGGATGATGAGGATAATGATGATGACGATGGTGTTGACGATGATGATGATGATGCTGATGATGATGCTGGTGATCATGGTGATGAGGATCATGATGCCAGCGATGTTGCTGCGGCGGTTGATGCGGATGCTGCTGCTGATGATGATGCTGCGGATGATGCTGCTGATGATGATGGTGATTATGATGATGACCATGATGGCGGTGATGCTGCTGCTGCTGTTGATGCTGATGTTGCTGCTGCTGATGACGAGGAGGGTGAGGAGAAGGAGGAGGAAGGAGGAGGACCAGGACGATGACCATGGTGGTGATGCTGATAGGGAGTCTGCTGCTGATGATGGTGACGATGATGACGACGACGCTGCTGCTGCTGCTGCTGATGATGATGATGATGATGGTGATGCTCATGGTGACACTCATGGTGAGGATGATGATGATGACGACGAGGGTGCTGCTGATGTGGATGATGACGAGGATGATGATGACGAGGATGCTGATGATGATGATGATGCTGATGATGATGATGCTGATAATGATGATGATGAGGATGATGATGATGCTGATGATGCTGATGATGATGATGATGATGATGATGACACTGCTACTGATGATGATGCCGACGATGACGATGACGCTGGTGACGATGATGGACGCCGCCACCGACGACCATGACGATTCCGATGCCGATGATGATGATGATGAGCATGATGATGATGAGGATGTGGGGGAGGATGAGGATGAGGATTTTGATGATACTTGTGCTGATGATGCTGCTGCTGATGATGTTGATGCTGATTATGGTGATGATAATGATGGTACCAACGCTGACGGTGGTGGTGGTGATGATGATGATTATGACGATGATGATTATGATGATGGTGGTGTTGGTGATGATGATGCTGAGGAGGATGAGGATGAGGATGAGGATGATGATTGCGATGTGAATGAGGTTGTTGATGATGCTGATGATGAT